ATGTGCGATTCATTCATGTCCATCTATGCCAGAACTACTAGCTAGAATTTGAAAATAATGAATTTATTGAGAGCACAGTACATTTTTCAGCTAGCACGGCCGGCAAAGCTCAGCGTTGAAATGGGAGATAAGAGAACCTTTAAATTGCCCAGTCAGAAGAAGAGGACTGGATGGGCAACTCAAGTTGTGATCGTTTGTTAATGTTTTGTCTGCTTGTAAAATCTCAGGCATTCTAAACTATGTTATTGTTTAAAGAAAACCAGAAATGTTGTATGGTTCTTTCTTTGCAGCGTTAACTTAAATCAGCTTCCCAAGGAAGCTTCTGAGTTTTCCTTTTATCTAAAAAGGCTCACTTATTGGATATATTATTTTGGTTGCTGTGGCAATCAGATTATTTGGGACTACAGTTTTCAACTTGCTTGATTGCTGGGGTGGATACTCCATGAGCAGTATTCCCCAAGGTCTACTAACCTTGCACAAGCCATGAGTAATGCAAGCCCGAATAGGCCATCCAAGAGAGAATGGCCGTAGACACTCCCCTCTTTCTTGGCCCTTTCTCTCTTTTTGCCTACTTTGCTTCTTTGTCGATTGCCCCATGCCCTGCACCTTCCTTCTGCCTCTGTTCCTGCCTGACATTGAGTCATTTTTTGTGGCATATGCCATTTTGCATGGCTGGTCCAAGACATTTTCTTGCCTGAGACAAAGGTCCCCCCACCTTCCATGTACAGAAGCCAACTGGACTGGCAGCTGAATCGTGTGTCAGCACACATCGTGGGTAGGTGGGTTGTATGTCCTCTTTTAGAGTGAGCGGTCCTCCACTGGAAAGGTTACCAAAGGGCAACCATTCTTTTGAGGGTGCTCTGTATTCGAAGGGCTGGCCAGACCAGGCCTGACTGAAAGACAAAGAACCCTAAGGAGGGAGAACAGGAACACAGAATCTGCCTGTCCACAGGGAGCACCTGGAAAATAGGCCCACAGGCGGTGCAAGTCACGGCTGCCCGTCTTCCCCCATTCAAGGGAGATGCACGACATGGCTGTTTAAATTATAAAAATTGTTTCTGATTTTGCATCTATACATACTGTACAAAGAAACATGTATGCCAACAAGAGCCCCCATTTTGTCATCCTTTATGGTGACACATGCCCTTGGTCTTTGTGATGTCTAAAGTGGCCTTCCTAAGGACATCACAGCCTTGGCTCTTGGCTGTCCTTCCGCAAGCAGGCTAAGACCTTTCTCTTCAGGCAAGCTTTCCCTCAGCGGCTGGCTGCTTGAGTGGGATTTTTAGATGGATTGTTACACATTCCTGTTTTTACTTTTTTTTTTTTTTTTTGGCCTTGCTTGTACGTACTTACCATTTCTTGGAGTTGTATTTGTTTGTTCCTTAATATTTGTATACTTATTGTTTTGTTAACTTCAGATATTGTCTTTTAATCTCTTTTTTTTTTTTTTTGGTCTTGCTTGTACTTACCATTTCTTGGAGTTGTATTTATTTGTTCCTTAACATTTGTATAGTTATTGTTTTGTTAACTTCAGATATTGTCTTTTAATCACATAAGCTGTCTTGGGTCCTTTTTAAGGAGAAAGGCGGGACAAATTTGTTTTACGGTCCTTTTTAAGGAGAAAGGCGGGATAAATTTGTATTACATACCATAGATAGACAGACAGACAGACAGACAGACACACACACACACACACACACATACATGGGGGCATCATGTGTGTGTGTCTGTCTGTCTCTCTCTGTGTGTAGGGTGGGTTGTGTCACTTTGTTCTCTGACTTTTTGCCTTCACTGTGCCCCCACAGACAGACAGACAGACAGACAGACACACACACACACACACACACATACATACATACATACATACATACATGGGGGCAGCATGTGTGTGTGTGTGTCTGTCTCTCTCTGTGTGTGTATGTGTGTGTGTGTAGGGTGGGTTGTGTCACTTTGTTCTCTGACTTTTTGCCTTCACTGTGCCCCCTGAGGTGGCTGCCTCACCTTACTTAAAAGAGGAATTGGACTTCTCCCCAAAATAAGCCATCTTTAGGAGTGTAGAAAAAGGGCGCTGCCATCAAGGTAGACACCTTATCCACAGGCAGGCACATCTTCACTCACACACACTGCTTTGTTGGCAGCTCAGAAAGTGTTGCTGTGCCAGCTGACTACGTGGGTCCACCCCTGGCCTGAGCCGAGAGGGTAAAATCACATGGTTCAAGATAGCTTTTGCTCTAGCCTCGTCCAACTTAGAAGATTAGTTTTCAAAAGGAAGTATTTTTATCCAGAGTGATGGACGGCATTGACATCCACCCGCTCTAGGGATCAGCCTGTCGCAGCCCTTGGAATGCTTGTGGGAGGCGGTTAAGGAAGTTGTTGTAGTGGCTGTTGAGAGTTGGGAGAGAAAGAGGGAGAGGATGAGTTGAGTGGTGTGGCAGGAAGGCCAAAGGAGCAATTAGGAGAGTTCAGGGAAATGTTAGAAGGGACACAACTGTGACAAATGCTGAATGTTTGACAGTCAGTCTGCCCTGCATGGTTTATGTTGTGTTCAAGCCTTGCAAATAATTTTTGCTTGTTTTGCTAACTTAGGGTGTGATCAGAAAGCTGAAAAAGCATGCCTCCAATCATAATGGAAAGCGTCACTTTGTAAAAAGTGATCTCCCTTGAAGCCATCCTCTGTCTGTTGGGTTATCATTCTGGCCTGGCCCCCCAAAGTAGTAGCTGTACAGCTGGATCCAAAAGTTTGAGCTTAGGCACAGATCGGGGTCAGACGAGCTCCTGTCATGTGATCACTGGGAAATAGATCAGACAGGACCTTTCTGCAAGTGGTCCTAAATGCAATCTATTTCCCCGTATGATCAAAGTCTGTCTGGTCTGGGGAGCTATTGCGTTCCAGCCACGCACAATAACAAGCACAGAAAGTACACAAACGTATCCTGTGGTGGGACTCCCTTGCCTCCGTTGGGGAAGAGATTGGGACACAGTAGGCAGGCCAGCTTTGACCATGACTCAAGAATGCCTTCTGCGCTCCTTGTTAGGAGTCCAAGTGGGACAGGAAGATCATCAGCCTTTAGAAAAAAAAAGTACAGCTCAGCATATTTGCATTGATCTGCTGCTGGCTTCATGTTTGGTTAAAGTCTGGATAATTTTAAGTCATCTGATGTTGAAAAAAAAAACACAATGCATTGGTGTGATTGCCTATCTGCTACCCTGACCACATTTGACTCGTGTCTTTATATGCAGTCAAGGGTCTCTGCTCCAGCCCAAATGCCACAGCAATCCTGCAGACAGTGACAATGGCTCAGCATGTGCTGCATTGAATCAGTTCGGCTGCCATTCGAATTCCAAACTCCATCCCTAGAGACGAGTTGGTTACCATTGTGGCTGCAGATTTTTTTAAAATGTTTTTTTTCTGTTCTCAAGAGTAACTAAAATATTTGTAGTTATTGTCTAGTATCCTGTTGCCAGATGCAGAGCAGAGGGGGGAAGTCACATAACCTTCACCGCTTCACCTCCTGCTCTGGGAGTGACGGATCTCACAAACAGTGCAAGAAGGGGAGGGCTACTCTGCTTTTCTTTCCACTCTGTGTTTAGACAACAGGATACTATCCTAAAATAATTCCTGTATTGTTATTCTTTGTTTAAACCAACAAATAAACAGAACCCATCTCTGAGTGCTCCCGGCTTGTAGGGCAAAATGTGTTCTTGTTCCATTTGGTTAATTGTTATCTCAGCACCAACAGGACAGCACTGAGTGACACTTGAAATCATTTGACATTCCTCCTCCATCACTGAGTGAAGCCACACCTTGTCACTGTACCAGTTGTTATTCTGCAGAAGGAGCAAAGTTGCCACTCCACAAGTTACAGTCATGATGTAGTTCTACCTTAATTGTTGGGGGAAACTCATTACAAGTCACTGGTTATTTGTAATCAGTTACGTCCAAGCTCTGACCCAGCTGCGAGAGAACATGAATTCCAAATTCCTGGTCTCTAGTGCCTTCAGCAGAGCTAGCTGGATGGCAAAGCAGCGACATTGCTTTCAAAACTGCCAGTGCCAGGTCACAGAAACACAAGCTGTGCAGGATAAGTCATCCTATGGCAACACAGTGCTATGTGGGTAGGAATAACAACAGCACAAGGCCTAGTGGCAAAAATATCTTTATGGTTTTGAAAATCCAGGAATCTGTGAAAGACATCTCTAAAGCAAGCAGGCTAGATAGCCAGCATTTATGCACTTGTTTTCTCTGTCTATATCCTAAGGGGAAAATATCTCTTGGAGGAGGGTTGCTGTCTTTTAGTACAGGAAATGAAGTTTAAGCAACAGCGAGGTGTCTGTCCGTGGTGAGAAAAGTTTGCAGGTTTTTCTGGAGAAATATGGGGGCAACTCGGTTTTTGGGGGGCGGGTAGGCAGTGATTCTGCTCTGGGTTTTAGTCCAAACTTTCCTAGTATACTCCAGGGTGCTGAAACCTAGCCTCAACATAGGTTTCAATACCTTGGATAGCTTCTTTAAAGTTCAGGGTACAATCGGGAGTGATACATCTTTGACAAACATAAAAATAAAAAATTGCCAGCCCTCATTGCAGTGGCCTGTACATGGTCTAGTGCAGTGGTTCTTAACCTTGGGTTCCTGAGGTGTTTTTGAACTGCAACTCCCAGAAACCCCAGCCAGCACAGCTAGTGCTGAAGGCTTCTGGGAGTTGCAGTCCAAAAACACTTGAGTAACCCACGGTTAAGAACCACTGGTCTAGTGGGTGTGAATGAAATATCCTAGGCTGGGAGCATTGACCTTGAGAATCCAACCACGGAGACTTTATTGTGCAGACAAGAACCCCGGATTGCTAAGAGCACCTTTACCCCCACCCCAGAGCATTTTTGCAGGTGCTGCAGTTGCTGGAATAAATGGGCAGCTGCAGGCATAAATATGTGAGTGGAAGACGGTGGCTATTCGGCAGCAGTGGCAGGAGGTCAGGTGATCGTTCCTTATTTTATTTTGCAGGACCCGAGATAACAGCACGACCGTTGGTTGGAAAAGAAGGGAGGACAAGAGAGAGGAACATGTGGGGATGAGCGGTCTGCTTTCTCCCTCCAGGCAGCAGAGAGATAGGAATGCACCACTGACTGAGGTGAGAGAAAACGTTCCATGCTAGAAGTTTATGGAGTTCCTTCTGCATCACACTTGTTGTTACTGTGAAGAGTGTATTTGTTCTTGCCCACATTAGAAGAAAACTGGGAGTCCCCCCCCCCCCCCCCGGCTGTGGATGCCAATTGTTTGGTTCTGCCTAAATCTCAAAGGGCAGTCTGTCTTGTTCTGTTGCCCTGTTGGGAGAAATTCCTGGAAGAAGCAAGGAGGCAGCTGCTGATTTCTTATCTGTCTGACTCCAGTAATAATATTTTAAGTGGAGTGAGGTGGGTGAGATAGGGTTGTTGAAAGGCTACTGCCTTGGGATCTTCATCTGCCATTCCACTGTGACGCGTTTAGGTCCTGTCACCGCTTCAGAAGGCGAGATTGATGAGCGTTTATGGATTCATAAGGCCAAGAGCATGCAGTCAACAGGATATTGCAGCTGAGGCTTCAATGTACCTAAAGTCCTCAAATCATTAAGTGGCAGAGCTCGAATGCCAACACCTGGAGTGAGGGACATGGTCTCCTGAAACCTGTTTTGCCTTTTTTTTAAAAAAAAATGTTTGCCTATATCAGCATCAAAAGTGGAAGTCTCACCCACAGCTTCTGGGCTAATGGCAGCAATTCATCCGCCTGTGGTTTGGGGGTGTGGGGTGTGAATCAAGAGTTGTGTTTGGTTAATGAGTTCTCTGTAGATGATTCCCTTAAGGAGGAGAGGGATTCTATGGTCAGGTCAGGGAAAGCAAAGATCAGTACGTGAGGAGGCCATTTTAGAGCAGAGTGGGGAACCGTCAGAAAAGCCAAAGGCTTGAAAATATCTGTCAGGCAAGTAGTATTCTGGAAGTCATGTCTTGACTACCATCATTGGCCAAGAATTCCCAGGACTCTGGAGAATTTGACCCTTTGTGTGAGGGTTGCAGCCAGTTGGAAGAAAGACCAGACCATAGGACAAGGAAGTCTCTTGTGGGGGAACAAAAAGCAGGCTAGAGAAAATGACTATGTGTTGACCAGCCTGTTGACTAAGGCTTTTCTTTCTGCAGATCAAGAGGTATTGCACCACAGAGATGGGCAACTGTGGCCCTTCAGATTCCCCTGTCTGTGCTGCCACTGGTAGAAAGCAGTGGTGCAGCTAGTCAGCACGAGACTCTGGACCTAGTGATTTTATAGGGTTGGGTGGGAGCTATTTGGAAAGAAATTAATCCTTAAATTGTAAAACAAGCCCCCTGCCTGATCCATATACAGTATAGCAATGCTGGGGTACTGATATGTTACAGTATATTTTCCAAACAAAATCAGAATTTGGAAGACTTCCTTCTTAGGACTACAGTTCCCCAAATCTACCCCCTTCCCAATAAGCATGGTCAGTGGCATGGAGGATTCTGGGATTTGCAGTCCAAAAAAATTACATGTTCTGGGCTCTGCACAAATGCTGCTAGCTGTTTGGTAAACGTGGGCAGATGAGGTGGAGGATGGAGGAGAGGAGGCCAGCTGCGCTAGCAACTGGTCTGCTTCGTGTTGGGCAACCTGAAAGTTTCTGTGTCTGCTGAAGATATGCAGTTGGCACAAGAATTTCCCAGTTCCTGGCTCCCTCCCCCCTTTCTCTCTGCCCTCACACAAGTCTCGTGAGGCTGTATTCAGCCAGGATGCTTTGAGTGATGAAATAGGTGGGTGCAGGTCTCTGACTCCACCTGCTGGTCCAGTATTCAGTGCTTGAGACTCCACCTTCCTGACAACCCGGTCAAGAGCATGTTCATAGTGTTGTAGAGCTGAAAGAGGGTTAAGAGCAGGTCCTTCATGGCAACATTTTTCCTTGCTATGGCAGAATTCCTTCCTGCAGTAATCCACAAGACCAGGTCTGCATACCTGTCACTTCCTCTCTCCCCCCCCCCAACAGCTGCAGAAGTTTCACCTGCCCTTCCACCAGCTTTTAAGGGCTACAAGAAACAGTGCCATTCAGGTAGCCTTTACCAAAAGTCACGACAGTTCTCCAGTTTGGGGTCTTGAAGCTATATCCCATGGTTAGCTCTGAGTAGGCCCTTTGAACCCATAGAACTTAGCGAACCAAGTCCCATTTCAAAAGGTCTCTTCTAGCTGGGACTAGCAATTTGACTGAACTTTTACATGCTTTTGCCTGAGCCCGTAATGCTGCAACTGAAGGGAGAACTTTTCTTTCTTGCCCTGATGTAGCGGCTCTGACGGAATTGTGCACTCTGCAAGTCTGCCATTTGCTCGTGGTTGGCCCACGTGTCAAGGTAGAGGGGAAGAATCTCTCAGTACTTTGAAGCACCAGAAATCAAAATGAGACCTCTGATAAGGAACTGGGCCCTGATCTGAAGCACACGTTCATATGTCACAAAAATAGCAGCTTCTGTATATTATTTTTTTATTATTATTTATTTTATTTATATCCCGCCTATCTAGTCGGTTAAGACCACTCTAGGTGGCTTACAAAAAACAACTAGCAATATATATAAAAACAATACTACAAAAAGAGAGAACTTTCAACAAAATAGGAGAAAGAGTGGGAGAGGAGAGGAAGGGGAGGTCAAGAGTTGATTGAGGGGAAGGCCTGCCGGAACATCAATGTTTTTAGTTGCTTTTTAAAAATACCCAGTGAGGGAGCTGCGCGAATATCAGGAGGTAGATTATTCCAGAGGCGAGGAGCCACCACCAAGAAGGCCCGATTTCTTGTCCTTTCCTTCCGGGCCTCCCTCGGCGTTAGGCTCCTCAGCCTCACCTCCTGGCTCGCGCGAGGGACACAGGTAGATCTTGGTGGAAGTAGGCATTCCGCCAAGTATCGAGGCCCTAAACCGTTTAGGGCTTTATACGTAAGCGTCAACACTGTGAAGTCGATGCGGAAACGGATGGGCAGCCAATGCAATAACGGAAGTTGGGGTTACAAAGGGTTGCATGGATAAGAAAAGCAGTCCTGAGCATGCCCAGTGAACACAGAACATCAACTCACTGGTTGGGAGGGAGTGGAAAACCAGCTAAGGTGGGGGAACGTTGGTATGGAGTTTTCTGGAAGAAGGAATAACAGCTGGTTGGGCCAGCTCTACCGTTTTTCTGAGCGAGGCAGCCAGTGGAGACATCTGATTTTCAGAGTCATGTGAGGGCAGCACGTTGAATGTATGACGGCTGCGTTTCCATTGCCAGGGCGGGAGAGAGACCCTTCAGAGGCTTCTTCCTCAGGAGCCGAAATAAAGGGACCAGCCTCCGGCTGCCACAGGGCTGGCCCTGGTTGGCCAGCATCCTGGACAGGAGTGGAGCGGCAGGTCCCGGTTGTACCAAATTTAGCAGCTTTCCATGACTGACCCTTAGAAGAGTCAAGTGGTTTTATGACCTGTTCCTCAGCTGGCCAATCCTCCTTTGTCCTACTGACCTCAAGGGAAGGGAAATCCTCTTTCTACCATCCCAAGTTGAACGTTTGCTGCTTGGCTTCCATTCCGCCTGCGAACCCTTTGCGCTTCTCTCTCTCTCTCTCTCTCACACACACACACACACACACACAGAGAGAGAGAGAGAGAGAGAGAGAGAGAGAGAGAGAGAGAGAGAGAGAGAGAGAGAGAGAGAGAGAGAGAGAGAGAGAGAGAGAGGCGCACACTCCCCCTTCCTGCTCCGGGAAAGGCCGGGTGGCTGGATTCCTTGCTCCTCGCTGTCCCACTGAGCTGATGTTTCATCCTCCGCTCCTCCTCCTCTTCCTCCTCAACCCCCATCACCACAGCTGAGATTTCTCCGTAGTCGGCAGGAGGAAGTTCTCATATAGCAGCCTACAAAACTGTTTATTTTTGGAGAAAATTGCTTCCATATTAGGGGGAAAGGGCCAGAGCCTTTTTCTTCCTGTCTCTTGGAGGACTGGAGCTCGGTCTCATGCTGCTCTCACAAACAGCAGGCGCCTCCACCCTGAGCTGAAGCTTTTCGTTCCCTCCTTCCCTTGCCTAGCTCCCCTTCCGTCTGCACGGTCTTCACCCTCTTGGCTCATAGGCTTCCAGTTACATTACGTGAGCTGTGTTCTGGTAACGAAGGCCCTAAGCCACTGCAGGTAGGGCTGCCTTTGAAGAATATGTAGAAGTGGAACCTCACCTAAATCAAGTTGCTCTGTTACTCAATAGGACTGGTCAATAGTTTGCTTGTTGTATAACAGCTTTACAGGCTGCCAAGCTTAATACAAAGTAGTGGTATAACATACAACATATTTGCGCTCACTACCCTCCATATGTCTCAGGGTTGGATACCAACAAACAAAACAGTTTTAAAACATACTGGCCATCTTCAGAAGCCCTTCTGTGGGTCAAATAGGTGACCGGAAGGGAAGGGGCCTTTTTAATCATGGCACCCAGTCTCTGGAATGCCTTCTCTTTTGGTTCAGGCCAATATGTTGTTATTTGTTGGTTCTGCGCTACTGCTTTGACTTTCATTCCTTTTATTACTGTTCTCCTGCTAAAGTTTGCCTCTTTTGTTTAATTACATTTATAATATAAATATAGCATATAAAATTTGTAAACTGTGCTGGAGATGGCATTGAAAAAGCAAGATATGAATGCCATCGATATGGAAACGAATAAATTGTTCTCCTGAATGTCCAAATCTTTGTATATCCTCATTTCATCTCTTGTGTTCCTCTGTTCTGTCTGCATACTGTGCTCAGATGCACCCTCCCCAGCTCAAGGACCTACTCTTTCTATCTATGCAGCCTGTGGCTTTGCTCTTTGAAATCAGACAGGGTTTGGGCTTATTCAAGAATGAAAGCCTGTCACTTAAGCAAGGATATTTATCCCATGCAAAGCAGAAAAAGATGTTGGGATGTAATACTCTGTCTGACCAGCATTCATGCAGCACTGCGAAGGACCCCATATTACACTTATGAACAACTGGGGAGCACCTATAGTTTTGGAGGGTGTCCCGGGCCTTCCTCCTGAGCTGCCATTATCACATGGTTCTTCAAAACCATGCCAGATGACTCTGGAGATGATGGGGGTGGATTTACCTTGTGCCAGCTCT